TGAAAATAGTATATAAAAAAACTAATAAGTTAAAAGACAAGTAATGTGTGAAGAAAAAAATTATTGAGACTTTAGATAAAACATAATTTGAATATATATATATATATATATATATATATAAAAGGAAATTTAAATCATAATAGAAAAAATAATTACAAATATGATAGAATTGAATAACAGTACTCATAATTTCTTGTTTAATTTATAATTTCGTGCATAAAATTATCTTTTTCTCGGTGCTTTGGCTTCCTCCTCTTCTTACTAGAAGGATTGACGACCTCTACCTTGACTATTAACACTTCTAGTTATTAATTTTTATTCATCATTTCGTTTTTCTTTCTACTTGTTTTGTACAAATGTGAAAATAAATTAAACCAAACCGAATCATTGACAAAAAAAAATTGAACTATTTTGATAGAAGAAGAAAAGCAAACCGAATCATTTTATGAACACAGTTCAATTAAAAATCGAACCATTTTTATAAAGTTGTTGAATTCAATTTGATTTTTGGAAGAAAAAAAAAAGGTGAACCAATGATGTGAAAATGATAATGAAAATAAAAATAATCACAAAATCAAACCCTTTTGCGAAGAATGAAAAAACATTAACCAAATTATTTAATAAAAATGTTTTAGATCGAAGTGAACCATTTTTATAAAGTAATTTAATTATTTAAAAAAAAAAACTTTTGTGCAAAATTCCATATGGTTTGTCTTAGTCCCCTCATTAGCAATTGTCGGTTTGCTTACTGCCATTGTCTTGTCGCCTTGTCCCACTGGCCAGCCACCACCGCCAAATCCCACGTTGCCTCATCCCAAAATAGTTCATCAATTACGACCTCTCATTCTAAGTTTGTTTTTCCTTTGATTAATTTGTTGTGCCTGTCACAAAATTAGGCTTGTTGGTTGTGTTGTGTTGTTGTCATAAATTTGCCTTATTGATTGTTCTATTTTTGTTATAAAATTAGTTTCATTGTTTTTGTCTTAAAATTGGGCTTATTATTGTTGTGTTATTGTTATAAAATTTACCTTTTTAGTTCTTGTGTTGTGGTTATAAAATTGGGCTTATCATATATTGGATTGTTTACTGTATTATTGTTCCAAGTTTGGGTTTAACGCTTAACAAGACCCCAATTCTAATATTTTAGTAAGTCAGGAAATTGTCAACTTACGTCAAACTACCTCTTGATTGGTTTGAGCTAGTTTAACTCACCTAAATTTTTTAAATAGAAAATTTCAAAAAAAAAAAAAAAACGATGACAAAATTAAGAAAAAGAAAAAGCTCAATATTTAATTAAAAAGTGTGATCTTTGGTTCAGAAAAACATACCATGTGACACAATTAGTAATTTGTACATTACTGTACAAAAGCAAGGCAGTAGGAGGTAAGCTTGGTCAAAAGGTGTGGTGAGGTACATAGTACTGATAGTAGGCTAACAACAATGTCGACAAAGATCTTGGTATGGATTACAAGAATGTTGGTTCAAATCTCTCTACTAATGTCAACACTTTGGACTTTGGTGGTGGGTAAAAGTGTTATTTAAACTTTAAAATTTGTCCTAATTCTTTAAGCTCCAAAAACTTAATTTAACTAAATTTTTATTTACTAAAGAAAAAGTAGGTTAGCAACAAAATACGATATATATATATATATATATTTGTGAGAATTTGGTTAAAAAAATAAAATAAATAAAGCAAATGTGACGTAATTGAAAAAAATGCAAGACAAAAATAAAAGGGAGGGAAGGGTGCATAAGGCTACAAAGAATAATTAGTTCACTTTCCCATTTTTCTTCATATTTACACTATGTTTGATAAGTGGAAAGTAGGAAAAAGAAAGGGATAAAGGATAGAAGTGTGTAAAAGTGAATGGTGATAGAATGTTTGGTAAAGAGAATTTAAGGAGAAAATTGTAATAAGTAAAGTGGTATCTACTAAAATAAATTTATCCTCTTATTTGAGGTCAAGTGTATGGAAATTGTATAAAAAAAAAGTATCACATGTAAATTTTTACATAAAAATATTAAATATGTTAAAATCTATTTATTTAATTTTTAGTTATTTTAATATAAATTAATTAAAAATATATTTTCAATCTATTTCTTACTTAATTTTATTCTATTATATAATATGAATTTCATTCT